CGGCCAGAGGTGCCCCGGCCGAGACCCCTGCCGGGGGCCGACTCTGCCCTGGCCGCGCTCCTCGATCCGAGCCTGCAGCCCTCCCATCGCTGGGGAGCTTCGGGGAATCGTAAGACTCGGGTGCGGGGGGCTCGGGTTGGCCTGACGGGGCCATCACGAAAACGACGCGACCCCATCTGAAATTTGACGCGACCTCCCGCGGCAAGACTTCCCCACGAACACCGGACCGTCCAAATCCGGGACACGCTCGTCAAAAACCTTGGGCAACTTCGAGCTCCGGCGTGCTCGAGTCTCGCGCTTCCCCGTGATAGGGGAACAAGAAGTGGCATAAACATAAAAACTCGGAGGTCCGCGCGGACTTCTTGGATCGGCGCTCGGGCCCCCCGGCGGCGCCTCCAGCGCCGCCCCTGGCGCGCTCCGCGCGCCAGGGAGGGGGGTCGAGCGCCGATCTGAGAAATCCGCGCGGACCTCCGAGTTGTTATGTGTATGCCACGTTTTGGTCCCCTACGAGAGCTGCCCCCGGCCCCGCTCCCGCCAGCACGGCCCAGTACGGGTCTTGCGCTTCCCCGAGAGTCGGCGGCGAGCGAGAGGGGGAAATGAGAAGGAGAATGCCTTTTGAGAAGGTTCGGAAGTCCCCCGGCCTTCTGAGAAGTTGTCCAAGCCTTCCCCGAAGACAGACAAAAACTTCTCAGAAGGCCTCCGGCCTTCTGAGAAGTCCCGCCGCCTTCTGAGAAGGCCTTCCCCTTCTCACTTCCCCCCCTCGCTCGCCGCCGATAGAGCTGCCCCCGGCCCCGCTCCCGCCAGCACGGCCCAGTACGGGGCGGTGTGGCCCACCAGCTCCTGCGGGCCCGGCGGGGGGCCGAAGGCCGGGCGGCGGGGGGGGGGCCACGGCACTGCACGGCGCGCGCTCGCGCGCGCGGCAGGCTGTCACGTGGGGGGGGGCGGGCGCGTCCGCGTGCGGGCCCTCGCAGAGGGCTCCGTCACGGGGGAGGGCTGCAGGGGCGTAGATCTGGACTGGGGGAACCCACGATGACATAGACATAAAAGCTCGGAGGCCCGCGCGGACTTCTCGGATCGGCGCTGGGGCCCCCTGGCGGCGCCTCCAGCGCCGCCCCTGGCGCGCTCCGCGCGCCAGGGAGGGGGGTCGAGCGCCGATCCGAGAAATCCGCGCGGACCTCCGAATTTTTACGTTTATGTCATTGCTCGTTCCCCTATGAACAATGACGCCAGGGGTCAGCGCATCGAGGACGGGGAGGTCAGGCCCTTGCCTCGCCAGCCGAGGTCCCAGACTGCGACGCAGAGAATGGGCATGCGCTTCGTGTCTACGATTCCGCTAGCGGGACCAAGCTCAGCGGATCCCTGAACAGCAGCATGCTCTGGCAGTAACGCACACCACGGGATACCCATCTTGGTTTGCTGCTCGCATCCCTCCTTCCTCTTCTCCTCCTCTTTCCTCTCCTTTCCTTCCGTTTACGCCCCCGCTCCATCCTCCTTTCTCCCTGCCCGACGGTGTTGCCGGCGAGCGGGCGGCACTGGCGGAGGGTGGGGTGGGCGGCGGCTCCACGTTGGGCAGCACCTTCTGCTTGGAGCTGCGCAGGGTGTCCAGGCGGACGATGAGCCCCTGGCAGAGGGGGGGAGGAGAAGGGCAAACAGAGGCAGCCGCTGGCTGGGCGGTCGTGAGCAGGGGGAGCGAAAGGGGGAAGATGGCGAAAGGGGAAATGGGCGAGGGGAGGCGGGAGGAGAGACGCGGGGGAGACGGGAGGACGGGGAAGGGGCAGGGAGGACGGCGGCGGGCTGGGAAAGAAGGGAGAGGACGAGGCGAGGAGGCCACGAGGACGTGGACCAGGGCGGGGTGGAGGGAGGGGGGCTGGGGGCGGGAGGGGCGGGGAGCGACGAGCAATGGGTCGGCCCGTCGGATCGCATGCCAGAGGGGGGATGGGGTGTGGGCTGGTCGGGTCGGGTGGGTCTGGCCATCGCTTGGACGTCCATTTCCTGTGTTTTTCGTTGGTTTCGCGCGTGGCTTTTTCGCCACATGATCAAGGCTGCTCCTCGATGGCCCTCGCCGAAAGAGAAACGCACACGTCCGAGCGATGCCAAGGGGGTGGCGGGGGGGGGGAGGTCAGCGCTCTCCGCGGGAGCGCGGGCCTGCCGCCGACGCGCGCGCCGACCACCCCGCCCACGGCCGCGCATATGGGCGCGCTGCTCGGCTGGCCTCACGGGCCCCTCCGAGCAGCAGGAGCACGGGCCGGCCCGCCCGCACGGGGCCCAGGATTATGTCGGGCGTGTCCCCCTACATGGGGATTTTCGACGAAAATTTTAAAAAATACCAAACAAATGCACTATAAAGGTCAAAACAAAAAACAAAAAAAAAAGTCCCCAGACTATTTTTGAACGATTTTTGACTATTTACTATCTTTCGTCGAAAATCCCCCTGTGGGGGGACACGCCCGACTGAAGCCCAGGGCACGCCTGCCGTGCCCCCGGGCCCCGACCGTGCGGGGTGGGGGGGAAGAGAGGAAGAGGGGGGAGAGTGGCAGGCCGGGCGCGCTCGCGCCATATCTGACATCATTGAAGGGGCCTTGGGACACACAAAAAAATACACACACATAAAAAGATGCCCCATATTGTCCCATGTTTCCTGGGTTTTCGTCTTCCCCCCCTTCCCATATTTTCACATATTTTCTGGGGACTCGACGATTTATTGTGTGTGTGTGTGTTTCTTTCCCTCCTGAATCATGCAGTACCCCTTCCTCGCATCCCTGGTGACTGCGCTGACCTCTCCTGCTCCGCGGGCGCGTGTCGTGGCGGACCTGAAGCTCCCAAAAAGACAACGCCGACCTAGGCGCAATCAGAAAGGGGGAGCTGCGCACGTAGGAGGGGCGATGAGGAAATGGTGGCGGTTGAGCAGGAGGATGATCAGGAGGAACAGAAGGATGAGGCGGGATGGGGAAAGATGAGCAGGACGCGGACAAACAGCATCGACAGGAACTGCAGACGAAGGAGCGGGAGGAGCAGGAAGATCAGGGGAAGCCGGAGGATGGGAAAGGAGGGGGGCGACAACAATGAGGAAGGACTCGGATCCAGAAAAGTCGCCCTCGCTGGGGAGAGGGCTCCCTTTAGAACAGCGGGCGCAGAGCGCCGATCCTAAGCTGAGACCAACACTGCAACGGCAGCGTATCCTGAGACACCGAAGACGTCCCGACTGAAAAGCAGCAGAAAAAACAACTTCTGAAGCCCAGTGAACAAAACACTTTTTTCATTCGCGGGTCGAGAGCGCGCCTCTTCCGGTCGAAGCTAAGCGGGCGCCCCGGTGAACAAAACACGCGGAGGGGGTGGGGGGCTCCTCCCCGGCCGCACCCGGGCGAGAGACAACCGGCCACCGGTCGAGGTCTCCGAAGAACCACGGGCGTCGCGAGAGGCGCGCAGGGGCGACACAACAACAGGAACCCACAGCGCCCCGAGCCTCGATCCCCTCCCCCCTCCCCCTCCCCATCCGGGCGGCGCGCTCCCACGCGCGCGGGAGGAGGAGGAGGAGGACTCTCATGGCTATAAGCAGTGCGACGACGTGGCCTCGGGGTCAAGCAGATGCCATTCTTGCAACGGAAACAACAAAGTTAGCCAGTGTGGACCCCAGACGCTGCGTTTCTAGCAATCTCTGCTGTGCAACCTACGTGGTGCAATCTATGTATGTGGTGCACTCTCTGTGGAACATCTTGTTTTCATAAGCCATCTAGGTTGTGCAGTATATAGCGCCGTGCCTCGAGGCACGACGTGGAGTCACCCCCAGGCTCTCATGTGTTCTCTGTTCTCCGTACTCAGAACTGGGGGATGCATGACTGTTACAGAAGCCACAGGGCCCGAAGACGGGCCCAGAGATTAACAAGAAGCGCCCATAAGGCCTCCGAAACAGTCCAAGAACGGTCCGAGACGCCCATGATGGCCCCAAGACGGCTGAAGGGGCCCTTAAGAAGCCCGGACATCGCTACAAGACGCAAAAATCATATAGTTTCCTTGTGTTGTTCGATGCGGTTCGCGTTCTCGCGTTGTCGGGCTTTCGACGCTCCAAGGTGGCCCCAGGCCAGAGGCTTCCAAGACCGTCCCAAGAGGCCCCCAAGAGGACCCCGAGACGGTCCACGAGGGCCCCAAAACGGCCCGAGAGGCTCCCAAGAGGACCCCAAGACGGTCAAAAGAGGGCCCCAAAACGGCCCAAGAGGCGCCCAAAATCGCCCAAGAAAGCCCAACGCGGGGCCCAAGAGGGGAAACACGGAACGACAGTTCGAGCCCCCCACCCCGAGAGGCCCCCAGGAGGCACCAACAGGCTCCCAAAACAGCCGAAGAGGCGTCCTAGCCCCAAGAGACCTCAGAGGCCCCGGCCCAAAAAGAAGCCCCAAGAGACCCCCAAACAGACCCCAAGAGGCCTCAGAACTGCCTCCAAGAGGATCCCGAGAGGCCTCCCACGATATCCTATCGAACATCCAAGAGGCCTCTAACCCACAACCCAGGCACGGTGGCGGGATGGGCCGAAGGCCACTATGTTCGCCGCCCCCTGTTGGCTTGCTGCAGGGGTGCCCGGCGTGCTGGATCCTATCGCTCTTGGTTTTGGTTCGTTTCCAGAAAGAACTCTCCCTGAGGCTCCGGCCCGTCCCGCCGGCCACCCCGAAGGACCCGGAAGGGTGCTCAAAATGCCCAGGTGGTCGCTCAAGTCGCCTCCAAGACGGCCAACATTGAATCCAAGATGCCTCCAAGATGGCCTCCAAGACGGTTAAGATGCCCCCAAGATGCCTCCAAGATGGCCCAAGATGGAGCCAAGACGGCCTAAGATAGCCTCAAGACGGCCCAAGACGGCCCCAGAGGCCTCCGGAAGGCCTCCAAGACGGCCCAAGAGGGCTCCAAGAGGTCCTCCAGGACGGCTCGACGAGACCAACATCGTGGATGTTCTTTTGTTGTTTGATGGGTTCTCGGATTTGCTTTTTTCGCCTTTCCGACGGCCCGAGAGGGCCCAATAGCCCCCAAAGATCGCCCCAAAATAGCCCCAGAGGCCACCAGGATGGCCCCAGAACGGCCCAAGAGGCCCTCAAGTCCGCCCAAGGAGGGCCCCAAGACGGCCCAAGAGGCCTCCAAGATGGCATCCAAGACGGCCCTGGAGCACCCCAATAGTGCCCCCACTCGGCCCAGAAAGGCCCCCATGACAGCTTCCGAAGGCGTCAGACGGGCCGACGGCCCAAGATGGCTCTAAGATGGCCTGGAACGGCCCAAAAGGCGCCCCAGAGCTCCCGAAGACGGCCAAAGGGGCATCCAAGAGGGCCTCCAGGAAGGTCTAAAGAGACCAACATCTTTGATGATCCTTAGGTTTTTGACGGACTTGTAAGTTGCGCCTTGTCGGCCTTCAGGTGCCCCAAGACGGCCCAAGAGACCCAAAAGATCGCCCAGGAGACCTGCAAGATGGCCCAAGAACGGCCCGAGAAGCCAACAAGACGGCCCAAAGAGGGCCCCCAGACGGCACAAGAGGCCTCCAAGACGCCCAAGATGGCCTCCAAGACTGCCCTGGAGCACCCCAGGAGAGTTTCAAGTCGGTCCAGAGAGGCCCTAAAACGGCTTCCGACGGCGTCAGGCGGGCCAGGATGCCCTGAGACAGCCAGAGAGGCCCCCGAGAAGCCCTCAAAGGCCCCCAAGAGGCCCAAGGATGCCCCAAAGATGCATCCAAGAGGCTCCCAGAAAGCTCCCAGGAGGCCCCAAGAGTGCCCGCAGAGGCTCCCAAGATGCCCCCTCCTCCTCCTCTTCCTCCTCCTCCCTGTCCTCCTCCTCCTTCTCCTCCTCCTTCTCCTCCTCCTCCTTCTCCTGATCTTCCCCGCCATCCCCTCCCCCAGTGTTCCCCGAAGGGTTTCCACAACGGTTGTGGGAACACATGGTCCGATAGCTTGGTAGAGCTCTTGCCACAACGCTCGGCCACATGGGCAATTTTAAAAGGCAGGGGGCGGCGGTGATTCGCCGTGGGCGTCTTCGATTTGTTGTGCCATCTTTGTGGGGGCAATCAAAGCAACGCAATGCAAGACAATACAAACATTAATGCAAACCAATACAAAATAAAGCAGGCCAATGCAACGCAAAGTAACGCAAAGCAATGGAGAGCAGCGCACAGCACAACAATGCACAACAATGCAAATCAACGCCATGCAAAGCACAGCAAAGAAAGGCAACGCATCAGAATGCAAAGCAACGCAATGCAAAGCACTGCAATGCAAAACAATGCAACGACGAGGCGGCGACGGGGCGGAGACGGCGAGAACGGAGCCGCCGGACCGGCCCGAAGGCCCACACGACTGGCGGCGACGAGGCGGCGACGGGGCGGCGACGGCGAGCACGGAACTGCCAGATTGGCCCGCAGGCCCAGTTCCTCAGAACAGAAGGGAGAGCCCCTACATGGGCGAACTGGCCGGTGAGATACCCCTCTGGCCCCCCTCGAGGTGCGAAAACCAGCGCCTCTGCCGAGATCCTCACCAACTGTTCCGAAAGCAGAGGATGTCTGCACGCAAACAAGCAAAATGCTTGAGACGGCCCCGCAATGTGGGCGCGAACGGGTCCGTGAGATGCCCCCCCTGACGGCTCCCCCCTTTGGGGGTCCAGCGCCTCGACAGAGACATCCTAAGACTATGTTCCGAAAGCAGAGGATGTAGGGGCGGCAGCATCATCATCATCATCATCATCATCATCATCATCATCATCATCATCATCATCATCATCATCCTCAGCATCATCATCATCGTCATCGTCATCATCATCATCATAATCATCATCAACATCATCATCATCATCATCATCATCACCAGCATCATCATCATCAGCATCATCATCATCAGCAGCGGCAGCATCATCATCATCATCAGCAGCAGCAGCAGACAAAAAAACAGCATCAGCAGCAGCAGCATCAGCATCAACATCAGCACCATCGTCATCATCATCATCATCAACATCAATAGCATCATCCTCATCATCACTAGTATCATCGTCATCATCATCATCAGCATCATCATCCGCATCAGCATCATCATCGGAATCATCATCATCACCATGATCAGCATCATCACCATCTCCAGCATCATCAGCACCACTACCATCATCAGCATAATCACTCTCATCATCATACACAACACCCTGATCATCATTAACATCATCGACATCATCAGCATCATCGACATCATCAGCATCATCAGTATCAGTATCAGTATCAGTATCAGTATCAGTATCAGTATTAGTATCATCATCATCGAGAGGGAAAGTATTGTATGTTGTCGTGCCCGGCGCGGTCGGAGTAATAGCATGAACCCCAACCTTAGGATATGGGGAACACTGCCCAGATATCGAGGAAGCACCGAACAGAAACTGGTCTCACGCGAGATGGCGTAGCATGGCACAGCGAACTGACGCGGTGGCTTACGGTGGCAGCCAGCCCGCCACGCTGCACTGAAACCGAGTGCGCTCACGCGTGACTTGCGCGGGCAACTTGCGCGCGAATGTCGGCGCAACCGAAGCCGTTGTTCTGCGTCGCTCAGGGGGCGCTCGGCCGTTTCTTCTGCTCGGCCAGCGCGGCGCGCAGTCTCGCGGCGAGCTCCCGCGCGGCGCACGGTGGCACCGCCGCCAGCAGCGGCAGTTCCTCTCGGCAGCGCGCCCAGGGGGGGAAGTGAGAGGGGCGGGCCTTCCCAGAAGGCTTGGAAACCTCGGACCTTCTGAGAAGTTGTCGCTGCCTTCCCCGCAGACGCAGAAAACTCCCGAGAAGACTGGAGGGCTTCTGAGAAGCCCCGCCCCCTTCTGAGAACGCCTCCTCCCCAGACACAACGTCGCGCCTTGTTCACAACGTCGATCCCCAGAGGCCTGGACACCTTCCCCGAGACCGGCTTGCCATCCCGAGACGTTTTGTTGACGGTGTCCCGAGGCCTGGTAAGGGCCCATGCAGGCCGGAAATAGCGAAACAAAGACCCGTCGTGCTTTATTCGCAAGGCGAGAGGGGGCCTGGGTCCTTCTTGCTCACCCCCCCGACCCCTTGCCAGTGAGTGGTCTTTCGTCCCCGATCCACTTTTGGTAGCCCCCAGGCCCGAGAACGGGCCATCCAAGAGAAAGCGCCAGAGTAAGTCGGGCGTGCCCCCCTACAGGGGGATTTTCGACGAATTCCCACCAGCCCTCTGGGCGTCGGTGGTTTAGGGCGTTTCCTCTTCCACCCCTCCCTCTTCCCCTTCGGGGAGGGGTTTACCCTCCCCCTACCCCCTCCTCGTGGACCTGGACGGGGGGCGCCGCGGGTAGTTAGAGCGTCCAAAACGGCCTCGGCGAGGAAGCCAAAATCATTGATTCTACTACGGTTTTGGCCCCATTTTGGCCTCCTGGGGGGGACCTTAATTGAGGGACCCCCTTTCGTTGACCGATCTCCTCCAAGATGGCTCCAAGAAGCGCCCAGGAGGCCCAAAGAGGTCCCAAGATGGCCCCAAGATGGCCCCACGAGGCCCCCAAGAGGCCCCCAGGAGGCCCCCAAGAAGACCCTAAGCGGCCCCAAGAGCCCCCCCCCCGAGGCACCCAAGACCCCGAAGAGCCCCCCAGGATCGCCAAGAGACCCCCAATACGTCCCAAGAGGCCACCAATAATCGCCCAAGAGATACTCCAAGAGGCTCTGAGAGGCTCCGAGAGGCATCTAAGAGACCTCTGGCCCTTGTGCTTGCCCTCCTGTTCCTCCTTCATGCTCCTACTCCTTCTCTTCATCCTCCTCCTCCTCCTCCTCCTCCTCCTCCGCCTACTCCTCATCCTATTCATCCTCCTTCTTCCCACTCCCTCATCCATCGATCCATCCACCTCCTCCTTCTCCTCCTCACTCCTTTGCACGGTTCGGCCGTCCTCCTCTTTGCTGCCGCACTTCCCTGATCACCTCAACTCGCCTGGGCGTCGTTTCTGGATGGGCTGGTGGGGATACGCGAAGCGTCTAGGTTTTTTTGCTTTGTTTAAATAACAGAAATAATTCAAGAAATACTCCAGTGGTAAACGAAATGCCCGCGAAATGGTCCCCATACTATTTTTGTTTACTATTCGTGACTCTTCCTCCTGTATGGGCACGGGCCCGACGCAATGCCAAATTGAACAAATCAGATCCTGGGATCTCCGGGGGAGCAAGCCCTCTCCTCGGGGATCTTCTGACCCGGGTCAATCCAGGACCCGGGCCAGCAGGAAACCAGAAACAGCAATGCAGGAAAGAAACTGCAACGCAGGTCTTCGCAAACCCGGGTCAGCCAAAATGCGCGGCCGCCTCGCGGCCACGAGCGGCTCGCTAACCCGGGTCAGCCAGAGGGGGTCGTCGCAGGATCCTGCAGGATCCTGTGCCCTGGCTGACCCCCGTTTGCGTTGACCCCCGTCTCTTTCGGGAGCGGCCAAGAGGGGGTGTCCAAGAGGGGGGGGTGCAAATCATGACCGGCGGCATGTGCGCGGCCCAGCGGGGGGGCCAGGGACGTCATGAAATAAGAGGAGGCGCCATGAAATCTGGGGAGATACCATGGTCCACAACCCCCTAGTCATCACCCCCCTCTTCCCCGCCATGATATCCACCCCCCCCTAGTCATCACCCCCCTCTGTTCCGCCCCCGATGAGCCCTGGCTGACCTTCGTTTGCATTGACCCCCGTCTCTTGAGCCCCGATCTCCTCCGCCCTCCCCCCCCCGGGCCCGCCGCCGCTCCTCGGCCAGGGCCGCCGCGGCCGCGCCCGGGCGCAGCAGCCCGAGGCCCTCCGGCAGCGACGCCGCGGCGCCCGCCTCGGGCTACAGGTCGGGCCGGCCCCCCTGCAGGGGGACTTTTGGGCGAAAGATCAAAATAGCATAGAAGAAACGATGCAAGACATGTGCAAAAACAGCCAAACACATGTTTTGCTTCGCGGGTCGAGAGCGCACCTCTTCCGGTCGAAGCTGAGCGGGCCGCGCACAGCTTGAATTCACAGAGAGGGGGGGCAGAAGGAGGGGCCTCACGTCAACGAAAAAAAAAAAAGCCAAACACATCGTCCCCCGACGATTTTTTGGACTATTTTTGGAACGTTCCTCCTGTCGAGGGACAGGCCCGACTTGAGCCTCGGGCGCGCCGCCAAGCAGCCGCAGCCAGGCCCCCGGGCCGACCGGCTCGGCGAAGAAGTCCGCCGCCGGCGCCGGGCTCGGCCCGAACTCCTCGCAGATCGGCGGCGAGCCCCCGGGGTGGGGGAAGGGCGAGGGGCGGGCCTCCTCCTCCTCCTCCTCCTTTCCTCCTTTTCCTCCTCCTCCTCCTCCTCCTCCTCCTCCGTTTCCTCCTTTTCCTCCTCGTCCTCCTCCTCCTCCTCCTCCTCCTCCTCCTCCTCCTCCTCCTCCTCCTCCCTCACAGAGCTCGGAGGCCCCCCGACCTCCTGAGGAGTTTCCGAAGCCTTCCCCGAAGAGGCGAGAACCCCTCAGAAGGCGCGGGGGGTTCTGAGAGGTCCCGCCGCCATCTGAGAAGGCCACCGCCGCTTGCAATCAAACCGGCCAGTAAGGATGCGAGATAAAGGTGCACGTGCCTTGGACGCCTTTGTCAAAGCTTGTCGGGCGGGGCTGGCCATTGATAGTGGTTGAGAATGTACCGAAGATGGCCAAGGAGGCACGGATGCAAGGGTACCCCTGGGAAGCCGATCGGGCTTACTATCAGCGTTGACTGTAGTTGGGAAGGCCCAAACGTACCCTCAGGACGACGTACCCGCAGTGAGGTGTCGCAGAGGCCACGGTTCCAGCCATGGTGGGCGCCAGAACGCAGCCGTTGGGAGTCCCGAGGTGGGCCCCGAAGAATTCTGTCCAAAGTACGTCTGCTCTGGGGTGCGTTTGGCCTCACCTGTTTCCTAGGGCAACGGACTCGATCGGTGGCTCTTACAGGGGTGTGAGTTGCAAAGGGTGTGATTTGCAGCTCGCACCCTGGGGGGGGGCGAGCAAGGACCTCGAGACAGAGTTCTCCGCCACGCTCCGGGGCCCGACGAGGATAGCGCGTTGCCCCCCAAACCCCAACGGTGCCGATCGCCAAGCACACCCCCGCGGCACCGCACCCGTTGTAGCCGCCGCGTCTTTACGAGGAGCCGAACTTACACACCGACGCCGTTTCTGGCCCCGTACTGAAACTCGCAAAGAAAAACGGATCATGATGTACACGGGATCCTAGTGTATACATTTCTCGCTGTTTCCTCGTGAAAGCGGGAACAAACCAAAAGTACACACCACACCACCGACGTCGTCCCCGACCCTCCAAAAATCCTGGGGGTGAAAAACAGCCCGCCTCTGGTAACTGAAGTAGATGCTCCAGTTCCCGACTGTTCGCCTCCGCTGCCCCAGGCCTGGCCCGTCTCTGGCCCACGAGAAGTGCGGAAGCCTCCTTGGCCGCGCCAGGGATGCCTCGCCGCGGCGGGCTTCGGCGCGGCGCGGCGGCGCGGGAGTCGGCCTCCCGCGCCGCGGCGACGCCGCTCGAGCATGGGCGGCCGCGGCTCTCCAACAGCGCAGGACGTTCCACGGATCGGGTGCAGGGCCACTGGCGGCGTCCCGCCTCGAGCGCCCGCGCTGGGGTTGCCGCCCCGTCGACGCGGCGCGAACCTGCCGCAGGAGCAAGAGGACGCCGCGAGGAGCAGGGGCGAGGATCCTCGCCGCTCGTCGCCTCCTGTTCGGCGTCTCTTGCTCGGCACGCCTCTGGCCTCCACAACTCGGTTTATGTCGGGCGTGTCCCCCTACAGGGGGATTTTCGACGAAAAATAAAGCATACCCCCGACATAGTCCAACAATAGTTCAAACATAGGCTGGGGACTATTTTTGTTTGGAATATTCTTTATTTGTCGTCGAAAATCCCCCTGTAGGGGGACAGGCCCGACATAACTCTTGCTCGGCACGTCTCTGGCTTCCACAGCTCGGCCTCGGGGAAGCGCCGCGGACGCTCTCGGGCGGGGCTGCAGGGTGGCCCTGCTGTTGGTGCCGTCGTCGCGCCTGTCCACCCGGGCCCGCCCGCGCGACCCGCGCGGCGGAGGAAAGAAGAGGCCACGACTGGGATTATGTCGGGCGTGTCCCCCTACAGGGGAGCTTTCGACGAAAAATTCTAAATACCCCAAACATACACCAAAAAGGTAAAATTTTGCTTAAACAAAAAAAATGTCCCCCGACCATTTTTGAACTATTTTTTACTATTTTGAAGATTTTTCATTTTTCGTCGAAGATCCCCTGTAGGGGGACAGGCCCGCCTTAAGACTGGGACTGAATGTATGTTGTTCCCATCCTACTTAAGGGCCGCATCGCAGAATTAATGTCGAGCACCCGGAAAAAGTGTCAAAAGAGTGTCGATACAGCGTCGGGCGAGTGCCTTCCAGGGCCGACACGTGAAAACCCTTGAGCTTCGGTATTTTGTTTCTGGCGCTCGAATTTTTTTCTGGTGATCAAGGCTAAAGTAGTTTGGAGCATTATAAGACTAAATCAGATCTGGACACATCGGGCCATCTCTGGGATCTGGGGACTCCGGATGATGCATCGGGGGCCGCGAAAGTGGCCGCTCCAGAGCGATCCAGAAGGCTCTGGACCGAGCATCCTGGCCTCGGCCCTGCCCGAGAGAGGCACCTCCCTGACCCACTGTGCCACCAGCGCTACGCGCAGGTCGGGAGCCCCGGGGGACCTCTGGGCCTCGTGAGGGTCAGTCTGGAGGCCATGCGGACCTCTCTGGAGATCCCGGGGGCGCCTCGACGGCACCCCGAGGGAGGGAGGAGTCGGTGGAGGAGGAGGAGGAGGAGGAGGAGGAGGAGGAGGAGGAGGTGGAGGAGAGGAGGAGAGGTGGAGGAGGAGGAGTCGGTGGAGGAGGGAGGGAGGAGGAGGAGGAGGAGGAGGAGGAGGAGTGGAGGAGGAGAGGAGGAGGAGGAGGAGGAGGGAGGAGAGGAGGAGGAGGGCAGGAGGAGGAGGAGGGAGAGGAGGAGGAGGGGGGAGGAGGTGGAGGAGTCGGTGGAGGAGGAGGGTGGATGAGGAGGAGGAGGAGGAGGAGGAGGAGGAGGAGGAGGAGGAGATGAAGGAGGAGGCTGAGGTGGAGGAGCTAGGAGCTAGGAGCTAGGAGAAGGACGGGGCGGAGGAGTCGCTCGCAGCCCTGCTCGCTGAGGTAGGTCCCCGCCCGCCGAGGGCCCCCCCGCTCGCTCGCTCGAGCGGGCCGCGGCGCGTCCTGCCGCTCCCGCTCCGCCGCGCGGGCCAGGAAGGTCCCGAGGGCCTTTCGGGTCGCGCGAAAGGGGGGGATAGCAAAGGGTGGGGGTCGAGAATCAGCTCACGAAGCTGACTTTCCCGGCGCCTCCCAGCGCCGGGAGGCGCCCATGCATCGAGGAATGGGGCCCGGCGGCGGGGCCGAAACCAGCTGCATGCAGCACACTTCGTAACCCCCTCCTTTCCCATTCCCCCCCTTTCGTTCGGCCCAAGCCTCGAGGGCCGGCCCGTAGCGGTCCCCCCAGAGCGCCGGCAACGCGGCCCCGCGGAGGAGCCTCGCCTGCCAGGGGAGCAGGCATATATAACGGCACCTTGAGGGGCAGCGCGAGGGGCAACGATGTAGGCGGGGATGGGCACACGGGGGGAGACCTCGAACTGGCATCGACGACACATCACGTTCCCTGTCTAGGTTGGCGCTATCGGGCCCCTCTCGGCGATGAAGGGGCGATGGGGGGTCGACGCGCGTCCCCCCTGTGCCTCCCCCCTCCCCTCCCGTGGACCCCGACGCCGCCACCTCCCGGAGGGCCAGCCGAGACAACGACGGCCCTCCCTGGCGCTCGTCCTCCCCAGGCCTCCGAGAGGCCCCCTCGCCGCCACGGCCGGGCCAGCCTCGAGCAACGAGCCAGGGGATGGACCCCGGGAGGGGCTCGGGAGGCGCATCTCGAGCGGAGCCGGCCCCGGCGGGAGAGCCGCCGCTGTCTTGGCGGCGAGCACAAGGGGGCTAGATGGGGGAGCCCTGAGATCCTGGCGCTGCACTTCGGTAACAACGGGCGGTGTCGCCCCGGTTCGGGCCCCGGGGCCCTCACGGATCGATCCGTCCCGGCAAATGGCGCTGAGACACGGGGTCCTGGAGTCCTGCCGTGATCTGTTTTGCGATGTTGCATGTGTGTTCGCAACGTCGGATGTGAGGGTAGGGGGAAGGGGGAAGGCTCCTTAGAGGGAGGCTGCTCCTTCGAAGGCGCGGCCCTACATCCACACACACACAAGGCCCGCGCCTTCTAAGAAGCAGGGGTGCTTCTACGAAGCCTTCCCCCCTTCCCCTACCCCCCCCCTCTACGCGTGGCCGAACCACCACGGACCCCTCTGCGTCGTTTCTCGGGCGCGCGCTAGCATGGATTGCGGAACGCCCGACCCGAGGAGGGCAGAACAGCGGCACGCACGGCCACTGCTGCGTGCGGGCAGGCCGCCCGCTCGCAGCATCTCTCCGCCAGCGGCAAGTCTTTGGCCAAGCTTGGGCTCCCCTGACCCCCTGTGCGCATGGCTCATGCATGGCCCTCCTCTGATGCTCCCCGGGCATGGGGCAAGGCGAACCTGGCCATGACAGCGAGGGACCCAAGACCCTTGACGTCACGATTTCTTCACGACGTCAATCTCTAGTGATGAGCCAAGTTCCCACCAACACTACCATATGTAGGTCCCCCCCTCTTCCTCCTCCTGCTCCCCCACCCTCCTCTCCTACCTATGATAATGGTGGTGATGGTGAAAGATCGGCCCATCACCCACAAGTTTCGACCTGTTCCCTGAGGCTGGCTCTTCTTCCTGAGCATGTTTCGACGGTCCCCAAAGGCCGAAGGCTACGAACAGAAGCCCCGCCCTGATTTCTCAACACGTCGGAGATGATCTGGGAAGGGACGGGGGCAGCATCGGCATGCGCACATCCACGACGGTATGCTTTGTTTCACAACGTCGACCCCCAAGATCGGGCCGGGCGAAAGGGGGGGATAGCAAAGGGGGGGTATGATAATCATCTCACGTAGCTGATTTTCCTGGCGCCTCCCGGCGCCAGAGGCGGCTATGTATCGAGGAATGGGCCCCTCGGTGAGGCCGAAACCAGCTGCATGCAGCAAATTTCGTAACCCCCCTTTTCCTAATCCCCTCCTTTCGTCCGGCCCGACAAGAGGTCCGGACCCTTGCCCCAGGACCGGTTTTTCATCCTGAGTCGATGTTTGACAGTCCTGGGGCCCAGGTATCGGCGGTGGACGAACCTCCCTTTAGTAAACCTCCCCTTGGTGAAAACGGCCTGGGACCGAAACCGACGGACCTAGACCCGCAAAAAAAACGGCCGCGACGCCCTCCCGCGAACCGAGAACGGCCAATTCCTTGGTCGACGTGTCAGGGTAGGAGGTCTGCCCAACCCCGACGACCCCCAAGAGGTCTGGACCCTGGCCACGGGACCGGGGCTTCATCCCGAAGCGATGCTTGACGGTCCTGTGGGGCCCAGGCAGGGCCCCGGGAGGCCGCAGCGGCCGAAAAACCTCCCGTCGCCATTTTTCCACAGCGCGAGAGGGCCTGGTCTCTTCCTCCCCTGACTACCTACCAGACCGCCCCAACCCAACCCGAAGACCCGAATTTCGGGTTGGGGGGGGTACGGGTTCCATACGTGTTTTCTCGATGTTCCCCGACCCCCTCCCACTGGAAATATGGAGGTCAATATGAGGCCTTCGGGTTGGGTCGGGGTGGCCTGGTGGGTGGTGATCCCCCGGAGCCTCCGGCGGGGCCGCCACGAGCGCCGTGTCCACCGCGGCGTGGCAGCGGGCCAGCGCGCGCGGAGCACCGCGGCCGCCGGCCGCGGCGGCCGCCGCGCGCGCGGCCGAGAGGTGCAGCGCGCCGCCCCAGGTGAGGCCGATCGGGGCCTCGCGGGCCCGTGGTATGTGAAGGGGCCCTGGCACACACACAAACAAATACACACAAATAAAAATATTCCCAATTTTTTCGCATATCTTCTGGGGTTTTGTCTTCCCCCCCACTTCCCATATGTTCCCATATTTTCCTGGGGATCGCCGATTAATTGTGTCTGTGTGTGTTTTTGTCCCTCTTGAGTGTATCCCTCCTGCCCGAAGGGGCCGAAGCAGGAAGGGGAGGACGACGACGAGGAGGAGGACGACGACAGGGAGGAGGAGGACGACGACGGAGGAGGCAGAGGGGGGGAGAAGAGTCCCCCCGCCTTTTCTCCGCCTACTCGTGCTCCTCATTCTCCTCCTTCCTCCGAGGGAGGAGCGTTTCGAAGGAACCGAGAGGGAGGAGGAAGGAGGAGGAGGAGGAGGAACAGGAGGAGGAGGAGGAGAAGGGAAAGGACGAGGATAGAGGCCAGTTGGTGAGTAAACTAGGAAACAAAAAGATCAGGGGGTGTGCAGGGCCACCCCGGACATGAATAGGGGATGGATGGATGGATGGATGGATGGATGGGTGGAACAGCCCTGAAGGACAACTTCCCGCGAGAAAACCAGATGCGGTGGCCATCCAGACTCCGGACATTGAGGTTACTGCTGGTCCCAAGTGGGGGGCGCCACCCCACCTGGGCAACAAAGCAGGCCACCGGACCCTGAACAAAACCGTCAAACATCTCGAGCCTTATCTCTCGGATGCAGACACGCTCCTAACTGGCAACAAAAGGCTGCTCTACTGGACGATGATATCGTTGGCACTGATGTGCGCACCATCGGCTTCGGCGACGGATCAAACGCAAGGTCCCGAAGATTTCTATTCATTGCCGTGCTCGTTAACTATTGGGTCTGTTCCGACGCGTCTGTATTTCGGAACACTTCCATAACTTTTCCGTGAGGGTCTCCCGCAAGCCCGATTGAGCTTCCCAGCGCATCTCTCGGCCCCACACCCACAACGCAAACACATGCAGAAACTGCAAGAGGGACTTCTCGGCCAGAGTTATGGCAGTGACCCTGGGGTGGAGCTCGGAGGAGAGCGCGGCGACGAGGACGATACCCTGGGGACGACGGACGACCGCAGCGAGGCAAGAAGGAGCCCCAGGGCATCCCACGACTTGAGTTCCGCCCTCCCGCTTAATCAAATGAGACTTCATATCGTGTCGACCAAAGGGGTCGACTCGCCACTCGTGCCAACCAGCTCCACGCTTTAAAGACAGATGAGCGGCGAACGGACTTCGGCCTCTAAAAAATAGGCTGCCAACCTCCTCTGGCCCCGTGTGAGCATGCAACGACACCGCCTCTCCAGCATGAACATCAGCAGCGCCCTTACCTCGCGATGTGCTGGCGCTCTACAGGCGCGAACTTATCTTTCGCTTCCAAACTCTGCTGAACTTTCACGTGCAGGATGGCCTCGATGCGACCGGCTCCCTCGAGCGACAGAGCAAATGCCGACGTCCCCGCGACTGGCTTCGACGGCCGACGCCGGATGTGCCGAGGGAGTACGCGGCATGAACTCGGGGATCTTCTGACCTGGGTCAATCCAGACCCGGGTCAATCCAAACTGCAATGCAGGAGAAAGAAACACTGCAGCGCAGGTCTTCGCAACCCCGGGTCCGCCAATGTGCGCGGCCGCCTCGCGGCCACGAGCGGCTCGCTCACACGGGTCAGCCAGAGGGGGTCTTCGCAGGATCCTGCAGGATCCGGCGCCCTGGCTGACCCCCGTTTGCACTGACCCCCGTCTCAAGGCTCCCGAGCTGCCCCCGAGGCGGAGATGGAGGAGGGGGAGGAGGAGGAGGAGGCGGATGATGATGATGATGATGATGATGATGATGATGATGATGATGATGATGATGATGATGATGATGATGATGAGGAGGAGGAGGAGGAGGAGGAGGAGGAGGAGGAGGAGGAGGAGAGAGGAGGAGAGAGAGGAGGAGGAGGAGGAGGACGAGGACGAGGACGAGGAGGAGAAATAGGAGGCCCCGATGAACGATAGTTGCTGCACACCCGGCGTGAACTCTTTGGACCGCCCGAGCTGTCCCGCGGAGGCCTGCGGCCTGGGACCCGCGATGGCGCGGGCCCGCGGCTGCACCGCTCTGCCCCCGGCCCTCCGTGTGCTTCGGGAGGGCTGCACGCCCGCAGTATAGCTGGCATGGCTGCGGAACGGGGCAACTCCGGCTTGGCCACGAGGCGCGAGTCTGTAGCTACAGGGCAGCTTGTAATCCACAGGATTCTTAAAGCATAGGATTTTTGACGCATGATTAATTCATGAAAAAATGTACGCATGAACTCGTCACTGCTTTTATGCTGAGTCCCTGCATTTTGAATACATGATCCGCACGCGGGGCATGTATTTTTTAAAAAGGGCACTGTGGCTACCCCTGGCTGCTCCCAGCCTCGGGAGGTCGGAGCTCCGCGCCTGCGCGCCGCGGTCCGCGATCCGCCTGGCACCTGCGACGGCAAAGTCCTCCGCCACGGCCGGAGGCTCGCGGCGACCCCCTTCTCGGTGGCACCGCGGAGCGCGCAGGGAGCCTTCCCAGACTCAGGAACCAAGAAGAACCGCCGCAAGGGGGTCAGGAGGCAGCCACTGGGAAGTCTTCGTCGGAAAGATTCAGGAGGATGAAGCCCCATTTGGGAGCTGTTACGCCGGAAAGGGGCCTCAGATTAAGCGGGATTCAGCGGGATTCAGCGGGATTCAGCTGGATTTCGGACCAGGGCAAAATCAGAATTTGACCTCCCAGGAATTGCATCCGAAAGGGGAGGCCCTCTGAAGGCACTGGCGAACCGGTCTGATTGCAGTACTGTCAGCCACGAGACTGAGGTGAGGAGCCTGGCCAGCGAACTGCACTGCCTGCTCAGGGTCGAGCTCCGGTACCCCCTCCCCATGTCCATCGAGGACTTCAGCAACGCGGGGCGCGCCCCATCGGGGGCATGTTCAACGCTCTGGCACGGGCAACCCCGCGGGTGAGCAACGAACTGCCGATCCTCAAGTGCTTCGACACGCCCCCCTCCGTGTCCGCCTGCTCTCGGGCGGCAGCGACGGGGCCATGCGAGCACGTGCATGACCGATGGTGCGCATGTCCAGATCACCGCGCACACGCCTGCCTTCACGGCGCGCTTCGCATTCTAAGCCTGAGATTTCGCCGCCGCCCAGGGGCAGTAGCTCGCGCGTGCGCGCGTGATACTGTAAACTCTGAATGCGCGTTTGGGAAAATAGCGAGCTTCGCGCCACGCCCAAGTGAGCACATTCCCCCCCGAGATAAACCCCTTCGCATCCTGTGGAGCATGGTTGCCTTCGTCGCCTTTCCCGAGCCCCCCGCTCCCTTGCTTCGTTTCCCCTCAAGTCTCGCGCATGGGTGCAGGAGGGGAGCTTCAATTGGCACCCCCGCCGAACACAGCAATCGAGGATGCATCGCCCATTCATGGCCCATAAAGACATCATTGTTGGGACCCTGCGCCCGACCCCCGCTTTAACCCTCCAAAAACGCCTTCGCATCCTGTGGATCCTGGTTGGGGGCGCCTGCTGCGGTGAAGTCCCACTCCCATCCGAGCCCGTCCACGCGAGGGCCTGCGCGACGCTCCAGCAGGCACGCGCGGAGGACGGAAGGATCCGAGCACCGGGGCCTCGGGGGCGGGGCCCGTTCGCAGCAGGTCGTCCGCTGCAGAGGTCGCCCAGGACAGCGCTCGAGGTCACTGGCGCTTGCATATGCGGCATCTCGCCATCGCTCAGACGTCCATTCCTCGTGTATTTGTCGATGTCGTGCGTGTTTTTTTTCGCCAAATGATGGATGGTCCTCGATGGCCGTCGCCGAGAAAAAATGCACACGTCCGAGCGATGCCCAGGCATCGGGGAAGACATTTGCTGGCCAGATCATTCTGCTCCACTGCCGGGCTGGCCCCGTCGCCGCTCGGACTGAGGCATCAGGGTGAAGCGCAAACTGTTCCCCGATACTTTCCCCGCGCGTGGGGTGAAAGAGAAAAGCGACAGCCTGGCGGTTCGGAGTCGACAGCTCCCGATCGTCAACCCCACTGCCACCCGACCCAGCATGGCCGCCAAGTTCAAGGCCATCTCAAAAACAAAATTAGGCCAGCACGCTCATCTGTCTCACGCGTCGTCCGATTTTCTGAGGCGGGCAACTCACTTCTTAGCCGTGCGAATTCGAACTTTCCTGAGCTGGGCCGATGCACTGCCGACCACCAGCAACATCGGCCTAACGGCGCGACGCTGATCTCCTCTCGTTCTTGCTATCAAGGCCAACCAGCTGCGCAAATACTCTCCGAGACGATCATCAATTGCGGCCGCCGATACTTTGTAATGAAGCGTGGCCCGCAAACGGTGGCATGTGTCCTGAAATTCAAGTCACGCGTGGACTGCCACTTCTTCTACGAACTTCCATGCGCACCATCAACGCTGAATTCTGCGTCATCGATGTAACACATGCGATCCACTGTCAGGCTTCCGCACACATACCTGTCATATCCCCGCATCGCGCATACTCGCGCGGCCACGTCCGCAGACGCACAGCCAACAACTACCCAATCGTGCAAACAGGAGAATACCGCTGAGATGTAGTCCCGGCTGGGTGACGCGTGGACTGCGCCACGCGTGAAACAAGTGCCTCGGCATCGCCGTAGGGGAGCCCAAGGACGAGGAACCCATCACGCAGCTCGTGCGAAGGGATGCTTAGGTAAAACGTGAAGTAACCCACTGCCAGCATGGCATTGTGCCTGGCAACCGTGGCGTATGCCTCGGATAGAGCAGGCGGAACCTCACGCATACGGCGACGCAACATTTTTCCAGACATGGTAGGCCCTTCCGTACAAGATTATGAGCCCGTGCCGTTGACCGCCAGCCTTCTGTCAGCATAGGCATCACGATGGAGCGCAGCCGCCAGGGGAGGACCCCGATGCTCTCGCATGTCTGCCACACACACGTTGGCACTTCCGGGGCGGGGTCCGACAGCAGACTTATGTGCCTGAAACCATATTACCTGGGGTGGCCGACGTGGTGCGAAGGAGGCTGCTCGAAACCGCCCGAAGAATTTGAACACTGACTCGTGGCAGACTGGATTGGTCGGGGATCCACGCCAAGATCTGGGCACTTGGGCTGCCTGCCATGACCGGTCGAACGCGTGAGCGTCAGTCTTGACTACACAATGCGAGTGCGCCCCCTGACCTCCCCCATCGGTACCTACTAATGCCGTCGGGTGTGGAGCGTCGGTTGCCCGCGTAGAGTTGTGCAACCCGCTGTAACCCTTCGCCGCCGCCGAATCGCACCTATCCTGCCATCGCTGTCGAGCACCCTTGTCTCATCTGACTCGGCATCCCGACCCGCATCACTGATGCCATTGAGTAACCGGTTCAATTTGCTGGCCGTACGTCCACGGCACTTGTTTCGTGACTTTTTCATCAACCATCTCCAACCTCGCCGCTGCCATCGCAAAGATTTAGGCGACGTCGAACCTAGAGAGACGAACCGTTGCCCAGAATTTTGTGCTCTAACCGGCGGCAGAACGTTAGGCGACGTTGAACCTGGAGGGCTGCACGCTTTCTGAGGATTTTGCGCTCGAACTTGCGGCAAAACATGGGGCATCGACGTTGGACCAATCGCCGAAGCCACCGAACTGCCGGCAAGACACGACATCGATATACGCACTCCCCTCCCTGCAGTGGCGCCAAGCCCCGTCCAAGGATCTTCTCAGAGGGCGTAGCCCCGCGAGTCACTCCCGGCCGGTTTCGGATACGGGGCCGTAGTTTGCCAGCCCGCTGGCCGACGCGCTCGCCACTGGCGGTCGCGTTCACCTCCCGCCAGCGGCACCAGAAGGGAGGAGGGGGGAGGAAGAAGGAAGGAAGAAGGCCATGTCTAATTAGCAGGAGGAAGATGCGCGGGCAAACGCGGCGTCGGCGGAGCAGCAACACCGAAGCTGGAGTGGGATTCCGCTGCAGGGTCAGAAACGGTACGGCAATCGATGTGCGGACAAGGAGGGGAACGAGGAGAGAGATGAGGGCGAAGAGGGAGAATCGGCCCATGGTGGAGTCACCTGGGCTGAGGCATTGGGGGGGGACCCTCGGGGCGGACGGAGGGAGCAGCTCCTGCACTTCCCCTCGCTTCACACAGGGAGAAGGAGCCGGAGGACGATGCGCAGCAATATCAGGACTAAGGGTGGCGGGAACGCGGCAGGCTGCGCGATTGCAAGCGGGAGCGGGATCAAGACGCGAAGGGGAAGAATTGCCTGCCCCCCGGCCTTCCTCGGGAAGACGTGTGCTCTCCCAGAAATTCTGACAATGCTGACTCGAAGTATTCCCAGTGCAACGCAAGGACGCTAGTGCTAATTCACCAGAACGGGCCGATCATGGGCCCAGATTTGTGCAGCCTCGGATGGAGTTGCCTCGAGCACTGGGCGCGTCCTAAGGAGTTCTCCTCCCTCAAAAACTACGCTCTAACATGTCACACGTAGAGCGGCTTCTGACCAACCTTTCGACACGAATACAGCCGTGGGAAGCAGAATGTGACCTTCTAGAGACAGGCTCCATACCCCTCCCCCGCCTTCTCCACCTGACCATCCTCTTCGCGCTGCGCGAAGCGCGAATACCTTCGCGCTCTCGCGCCGCCCCGTTGGGGAGAAGAGGAGGGGGAGGAAGAGGAGGAGGAGGAGGAAGAGGAGGAGGAAGAGGAGGAGGAAGAAGAGGAGAAAAAGGAGGAGAAAAAAAAGGCAAGGAGGACGAGAAGGAAGGGAGACGAACCGCGAACCGCGAAACGCGAACACCATGGCGCCCTCGTAGCGGCCCTTGGAGAAAAGGCGGGGAGACGGAGGGAACCTCGAGCCCGACGGTCGCGTGCACGGAGCACGCCGCCAGCGTCATGGCGTCGTGGGGCACGCCGCGCGGGATGTACAGGACGTCCCCCGGCCGCAGCTCCACCTCCACCACTCCTCCCACCTCCCCACGACCCCTTCCCCCTCCTCTCCTCCTCGTCCTCGCCCACCCCCCAGCCGCCTCCCCTGCCCTCCCCCATCCTCCCCGTCCCTGCCACCCCCCCTTTGCATATTCCCTCCCTTGCTCCGCTCGCATCCCCTCTCATCCGCTCCCCAGCTCTGTCCCTGAAGTCGGCCCATGAGCCCTCCCCGCAGGCGCCTTCTCACCTCCTGCGCATCACGCTGCATGCGCCGGCACCGTATCTGGTTTTGCACACTCCCCCTCAACCATCCCCATGCTTCGTATCTACATCCGCTCCTCCTCCTCCTTCTTCTCCTCCTTCTCCTCATGAGCAGGGAAAAGCAACCAGAGCAGCAGGACGAAGACGACGCCGACGCCAGCGACAACGACGTAGACGGTGACGACGTTGACTGCGACGACGACCTCGGAGGTGACAACGACGTCGACGACGACGACGACGACGGCGACGGCGATGGCGGCGAAGACGGCGACGACGACGGCGACGACGACGGCGGCGACGACCTCGGCCGGGTCATGCGGAGGGCGGCCCGGCGCGCCGCCCGCGCCGGCCGCCGCCTTCTCGCCCAATAGCGGGAGCACCTCGGGGGGAAACGGGGCGCCGCCGCGCGCGGCGCCGTCCGCGGTGGCTCGCCTCCCGCGGTGTGGGGCCCCCGGACTCTCGCTCCATGTTGGAGGCCTGGGGGCCGCCTGGGCCTCGCGAGGGGGTGCTCTGGAGGCCGTGGGGGCCGCCCTGGGCCAGGGGCACTTCTAGCAGCACCCCACCTGACACTGCGGGGACCGTTCAAGCTCCAACGATCGGCCCTTCCAGGAACGCCGAATCCTTCAACGTGGGCCAGGGGCGGCGCTCAACATTCACCGCCCGCGCTGGGGCCGCCGCCGGTCAGCACGACGCGAACCGACCGTTGCCCCTTCCATTTCCTTTCACTCCCTCTGGAGAGGAAGAGGGGGGGGCAAGAGGGGGAGGGGAAGGGAAAGGGGAAGGATGAGGATGAGGATGAGGATGACGAGGAGGGTTGGAAACATGAGGGAGAACGACGCCGTCCAGTGGGGAGATGCGAGAGAGGTGTTTGCTGTGCATGTCCCTCTCCTCTCTGCCTCCTCCCGCGCCCATCCCGCCTCGTTTCTCCTCCTGCTCCCTCTCCATTCCCCCCCTTTCCCTCTTGAGCTTGGAAGTTCCTCGTCCTTTCTGGGCATCCAGGGGGCCGCGCGGGGGCGTCTCTGCGGATGACCAGAGACCTCCTGGAGACTCACGAGAACCCCTCTGGGTGCCGTCGCCACACGGGAGAGTCCGGCCGATGTTGTCTTCGCAGCACTCGGCACCAAAAGCTCGCTTCGATGTAACAGGACCGTCGACACACGACTCAGGATGAGGAGTCTGTCCTTGGGAAAAGCATCGTGGGATGACAATGGGGAGGAGCGGAATCGCTGCGTGCAGGCCCCTTGGTGGACCTCGTCGCCACCGCTTGTCAGAACGAGCGCTGGCAGAGGTCCGGCGGTCGACTCTCAGGAAAGGGGGGGATGGAGGAGCCAGGGGCAAGGATGTCCCTGAGGAGAGGGTCGGCTACACGCAAGAGTGACCCTGGGTAAGAGTGACCTTTGGTGCGCGGCTGTTGCGGGGCCGCGGGGGGACCAAACTCAGGCGCGCAAGACGCTACTATCGCATCGCAATCGGTGATCGGGGGACCCCATTGTGCCCGCACCAAAGGTCACTCCAGCGAAAGGGGGAGAAAGGGAGGACGCTCATGGTTCAGCAGCCCCTCGAACCCGTTGCCGTGAAGAGGACACAGGAACGGACCACCCACGCTGGGGCCAGCTCCGCCCTCACCCTCCTCCTCCTCCTCCTCCTCCTCTTCCTCCTTCATCTCAACGCCTCCTCCTCCTCCTTCTCCTCCTCCTCATCCTCCTCCCCTGGAGGGCCAGGAAGGGAAATCAAACTCCTCCCGCGTCAGCTTCCTCCTGGGGGGCAAGCAGATGCCCACCCGTGCTCCAAGGACCTCTCAAGGGGAGCGTGCTGGCCAGAATGCGGAAGCGAATCCAGCCGTGACGACGACGGCATCCTCGAGGATGCCCGCCAAGGCAAGCACGAGGCAGGTTATCGGTGTGTGTGTGTCAGTGTAAGTGTAAGTGTAAGTGTAAGTGTAAGTGTAAGTGTAAGTGTAAGTGTGAGTGTGAGTGTAAGTGTAAGTGTAAGTGTAGGTGTAAGTGTAAGTGTAAGTGTAAGTGTAAGTGTAAGTGTAAGTGTAAGTGTAAGTGTAAGTGTAAGTGTAAGTGTAAGTGTAAGTGTAAGTGTAAGTGTAAGTGTAAGTGTAAGTGTAAGTGTAAGTGTAAGTGTAAGTGTAAGTGTAAGTGTAAGTGTAAGTGTAAGTGTAAGTGTAAGTGTAAGTGTAAGTGTAAGTGCAAGTGTTAAGTGCAAGTGCAAGTGCAAGTGCAAGTGCAAGTGCAAGTGCAAGTGCAAGTGTAAGTGCAAGTGCAAGTGCAAGTGCAAGTGCAAGTGCATGTGCAAGTGCAAGTGCAAGTGCAAGTGCAAGTGCAAGTGCAAGTGCAAGTGTAAGTGTAAGTGTAAGTGTAAGTGTAAGTGTAAGTGTAAGTGTAAGTGTAAGTGTAAGTGTAAGTGTAAGTGTAAGTGTAAGTGTAAGTGTAAGTGTAAGTGTAAGTGTAAGTGTAAGTGTAAGTGTAAGTGTAAGTGTAAGTGTAAGTGTAAGTGTAAGTGTAAGTGTAAGTGTAAGTGTAAGTGTAAGTGTAAGTGTAAGTGTAAGTGTAAGTGTAAGTGTAAGTGTAAGTGTAAGTGTAAGTGTAAGTGTAAGTGTAAGTGTAAGTGTAAGTGTAAGTGTAAGTGTAAGTGTAAGTGTAAACTGTAAGTGTAAGTGTACGTGTAAGTGTAAGTGTAAGTGTAAGTGTAAGTGTAAGTGTAAGTGTAAGTGTAAGGGTAAGTAAGTGTAAGTGTAAGTGTAAGTGTAAGTAAGTGTAAGTGTAAGTGTAAGTGTAAGTGTAAAGTGTAAGTGTAAGTGTGTGTGTGTAGTGTAAGTGTAAGTGTAAGTGTAAGTGTAAGTGTAACTGTAAGCGTAAGTGTAAGTGTAAGTGTAAGTGTAAGTGTAAGTGTAAGTGTAAGTGTAAGTGTAAGTGTAAGTGTGTGTGTGCGTGCGTGCGTGCGTGCGTGCGTGCGTTCGTGCGTAGGTGCGTGCGTGCGTGCGTGCGTGCGTGCGTGCGTGCGTGCGTGTGTGCGTGTGTGTTAGTGTGTTTGTGTGTTTGTTTGTGTGTTTGTGTGTTTGTGTGTTTGTGTGTTTGTGTGTGTGTGTGTTTGTGTGTGCTTGTGTGTTTGTGTGTGTGTTTGTGTGTGTGTTTGTGTGTTTGTGTGTTTGTGTGTGTGTTTGTGTGTTTGTGTGTTTGTGTGTTTGTGTGTTTGTGTGTTTGTGTGTTTGTGTGTTTGTGTGTGTTGTGTGGTTGTGTGTTTGTGTGTTTGTGTGTTTGTGTGATTGTGTGTGTTGTGTGATTGTGTGTTTGTGTGTTTGTGTGTTTGTGTGTTGTGTGTTTGTGTGTTTGTGTGTTTGTGTGTGTTTGTGTTTGTGTGTTTGTGTGCGTGTGCGTGTGCGTACGTGCGTGCGTGCGTGCGTGTGTGCGTGTGTGCGTGTGCGTGCGTGTGTGTGTGCGTGTGTGTGCGTGTGCGTGCGTGCGTGCGTGTCTGTGTGCGTACAACCCCCTGGAATAAAAAGTCCGGACCGCAGAGGTCGGGGAATAAGCCTTGATGTTCGGCTCCCGTTAGGCCACGGGGCCCCGGTACAATGTTGCAGGGGCCGCCATGGTTAAATTTCTGGTCCATCCTCACCCCCTCTAACATTATTATCGCCAAATGGGGTGACGACCGGAAATCCGCATTCCGCCTCATACTTCCTCCAACAAAAATGTCCAGACGCTTTCCAAACGACCGTAAATTCTCAAGTGGCGACCAGAAATTGGCGATTTCGCTTGGGACTTCCTCGCAAATGAACTTCCGGTCCCAATTATGATGCTTGGAAGTTGCGATTCTGCTTGGTACTTCTTGCCAGTCATGTTTACCTCTCGGGGAGCGACGGTGCAAAGGGGGCCTGCAGCGCCGATCCGGACTTTTTAATCCAGGGGGGGGGGTAGTGGCCCGCCGCCACGTGCGGGCTCGGCCGGCCGCTTCCGGCTCGTCGCCGGGCTCCGAACAGCGGCCGGCTGAGCCTGCAGTTCCTCGATCCGTTCCCGCAACCTTGGCTGAAGTCGGGCCTGTCCCCCCACAGGGGGATCTCCGACGAAAAATAAAAAATATGCCCCAGAAATAATCAAAAATAATCCCACAATAGTCTGGGGACTATTTATTGAATATGTTTTAAGCTTTTTGGGGTATTTGTTGTGTATTTTTATTCTTCGTCGAAAATCCCCTTGTAGGGGGACACGCCCGCCATAAACCTTGGCGCTGTCTTCGCCCAGGCCGCGCGCGCTGAAAGGGTGCGTGCTGTGTGCCTGTGCGTGCGAGTCTCCTACAAGACTCCTCGCAGCTCGATCTCCCCCCATGCTACCGCGGCAGCAGGGGCACCTCGGGCGCAGCTCCGCCGCCGTGCAGGCGCCAACGCTTGGAGCCCTGCAGCTGCACAACGAAGACGCAGTGGTCGTCGAAGCGGTACGGGGCCCAGGAGTGCGCAGCACTGGCGCCCCCTCCCCTCGCGCCCATCCACTTTGGCGGCGCGCCTACGAACTGGGGGAGAGGCGAGAGGGGCGGTCCTCTGCGAAGGCAGGGTGCTTCTGAGGACCCGAAGGGCTCGGAGGCGCCCAGTCGGGTCGGGCGAAAGGGGGGGATAGCAAAGTGGGGGTTTGAGAATCAGCTCACGTAGCTGATTTTCCCGGCGCCTCCCGGCGCAGGAGGCGGCTGTGTATTGAGGAATGGGCCCCTCGGTGGGGCCGAAACCAGCTGCATGCAGCAAATTTCGTAGCCCCCCCTTTCCCAATCCCCCCCTTTCTCGGGAGCGGCCAAGAGGGGGGTGTCCAATAGGGGGGGGTGCAAATCATGACCGGCGTCATGAGCGCGGCCCAGCGGGGGGGCCAGGGACGCAATGGAATACGAAGAGGCGCCATGAAATCTGGGGAAATATCATGGCCCACGCCATGATGTCCACCCCCCCCTAGTCATCACCCCCCCCTCTTTCCCAATCCCCCCCTTTCGTCCGGCCCGCCCCAGGAAGGCGCCTTGCGGTGGCCCCCTTGCCCTCTCGGAAGGCACGGGGGGCCCTGCCCCTCGCCCTCCTCAAGAGGGCCGCTCTCCCCTGGCACCGTGCCCCGTCTGCACGCCGCCGGCCGATGGAGGCCGCCCGAATGCAAGTTATGGCAACAAAAGCAACACGCAACAAACATTGGCAAAATTATGACATTGACTTTGAAAAATGCATCAGCAGTCATAAAACAATGCGTATTTGTTTGGCCCGAGCAGGTGCCATCGGAGGATCGCACCGCAGTGCCGATGCCTCGGCGACGCCGCGATGCCTCGGCGACGCCGGGACGGGGAAACTCCGGCCGCAAATCGCGCCGCATGTCCCCGGGGGGACTGGCAGGTACCCATATACCGCCTGCTCCCGAGATCCCTTTCTGGACCGCGTTCGGGAGAAAAGCATCGCGGCGAGTCTGGCGGTGGCGACGAGGGCCCCCCGGGGACGCCACAAACGGGAAACACGAGCCAGGGGTCATTGTGTGGGTACCTTTTCCTCCTCCGATGTCCAATGGGACGCACAGAGACATACTAATACTAGATGTCCTCCTTGGAGGCGTGCGTCCGACCCGAACATGTAGTATACCCATCTTGTAGTACATCGTTTCCCGAGCGGTGTGGCACGAAAGCGCCCGCCACGACGCCGCATATACCACAAGATTTCTCGGTGCGCGCGTCGCCCCTGTGGGGGGCGACGAACATTTAGTAGAAGTAGGTTGGGGTGACGCCGATCCGATGCATCGGCGGTGCTTCGGCGCGATCCTCCGACCCCACCTGCGTGCGGCGGCGGCACTGTGAGCGGCTGGGCGGCCTGGACCCACCCTCCGCCGACGAGTCGCCGCCTGCTGGGGCGCGCGCGCACTGCTCCGGCGCCTCCTGGCGAAGGAGGCGGCCGTGTATTTCAGGAGAGCGCCAAGCGTCAAGGGGATTTTCGACGAACCATAAAAAGTACCCCAAAAATAAACCAAAAATAGTCCGGGGACTATTGTTTAAATATTTTGTTGGCCTGTTTGGTGAATTGTTGGGGTATTTTTACGTTTCGTCGAAAATCCCGCTGTAGGGGGGCACGCCCGACATAAGCCAAGCGGCGGCATGCCGCAGACGTCGCACCCTGCCGACTTGCTTTCCCCATGGGGAAAGGGCATAGTGCGCTATATCTCCCCATCTCGACCGACCAGCTGTGCGCCCTGCTGGGCCCCGGGAAGTGGGTCTCGAAACCCTGGCAGCCCCCCTGCTGCGGGCAAGGCTTGCGTCCATGTCCACAGCGGCCTGGTCGGAGTTCCGGGCCCCCTCCCCCTGAAATCCGAGGCGCACTGGGCACGGAGAAAACATCTGTCCCCTTCAGAGGCTCGACGATCATCAATATCCAGTGCGCCAGGACCTGGCGGCACCCTTTCCGAGAAAGTCCGAGACGCACTGTAGATGGACTCAAATATTGCCCGCACCTGCGGCGTCCAGTACAGCGCGCAATTGCCCACGAGCCCCATCTCGGCCCCAAGGGCGGCCACCAGGCGGCCCAGGCGGGGGAACGCGCCCTCGGCGCGCGGCAGCAGCAGCGTGTAGCCCTGCGCCAGGCCCTCCAGGAGCTCCTCCGCGCCGAGCGCTGCGGCGCCGTCCCCGCCACCTGAAGGCGCCGTCTGAGCGACCCCTCTCGTGACGAGCCAACGGTCTCCGGCGGCGTCAGCGGATGGTTGCTTTTCAAAAGAAGCCCACAGAAGGGGTCGGCGTGCCAACTTGGGCTGCCCCCCCGAGCACCGTTCTGCGCTAACTCCTGGGAGTCGCCCCGCCCTCCAGAGCACCCTTCTGCGGCACCTCAGGGGAGCCTCCCAAAATCTCTTGTCTGCTCTTGCGAATCGAAGCTAATCGACGCCAAGGCGCCGCCAATCGAATACTACATCGGCGCTACATCGTCGAGATTACCAGACGCTCATCGACGCTAACGCTCTCTGGAGTCTGGAAAAACGGAATTACGGGGGTGCGGCCGGTTCGTGTCGTGCCGACCCCAGCTTGGTCCCCGACACCGCGGGGATCGTTCAACCTTTCGGCCGTTTCCGAAACGTCAGATCGTTGAACGTCGACGACTTCGGAAGCAACGAACAATGTGGAGCGCCGGCGGTCGCCGCCAACCGTCACGACGCGATCCCACCGTGCACTGGGGAACCCAAAAGGTACCGATACCACCACTCCACTGGACCTCTCCAGAGATGTGTTCTGACCAGAACCTCTCGGCGAATCCAGCGGTTGCGACGGGGGGCTCCCAGGGTGTCAGACAATGGGAGAACGAGCCAATGGGTGCGGAAGGGGTACCTCTTCCTCCTCGGCGTATCCAGGGCTCCCATGACTTGCTGCCGAAGCACCGTGCCGCTCGTCCAGGCCGTCCCTGCCCGCCGCGCGCACGAGCAGCGCGCCCTCCGCCACGCCGCCCCCGCCGCCGCCCAGCAGGCCCCGCAGACAGCCCTCGGGCCCCTCGTTGAGCAGGGACCGACCGTCCTGGCATCCCCATAGTCCTACCACGAATTGTTCCCAGAACCCCCAAAAATGTTCGAAGAACAGAGACGATGTCCTCATAACATAAACCCGATGTGTTTCAAACAAGACAATCTCAACCAGACATGTTCTAATAACAAAATCAATGTCCTTAGAACATAAGCCGATGTGCTAGAACAAGACAATATCAACCAGACATGCTCTAACAACATTTCGTGGAAAGCACAAAAGGTTTTTAGAATCGGCGGTGGACAAACCTCCCTTTGGTAAACCACCCTTTAGTGAAACCGGCCTGGGACCGAAACCGATGGACCTGGACCCGCAAAAATGATGGCCGCGACGCCCTCTCGCGAACCGAAAGCGGCCGATTCGCGAATCGACGTGTCAGGGTAGGAGGTCTGTCCACCCCCGACAAAAGGTTCTTAGAGCATTGTTTGGTAGGGCTATATATATATATATAGGTACGCCAGGACGCTTCGCCACTGCTTGACCTTGGGCCCCTCGGCGCCCTCGCCCTCGCGCGCGCCGCCCGGCCTCAGCGCGGCCTCCGGAGGGAGGGGGCTGCTCAGGACGTGCGGCGGCCCCGACAGGACTGGGGCGCTCCCAGACCCAGGACTGGCTCCGGCCTGTCCCCCTACAGGAGGATTTTGGACGAAAAGTGAAGAATATTCAACACATATTCAAAAAGATGCCCAAACATACTCAAAAACTAGTCCCCGGACTATTTCTTGAGTATTTTTGACCATTCCCCCTGTAGAGGGACAGGCCCGACTTACTCCCGGGACTCAAGTTTCGAGCAGGAGATCGACTGCAGAACTGATGCGCCCCGAAATGCAATTCCCAATCGCATCTGCAGACAACCCACGAAGCCTGGACACCGTCGAAATCCAGGAAGGGGCCGGCAAAAGGCGTCGGCGCCTCCGAGTTCTGGTGTCCTCGAGCCTTACGTTTCCCCGAGACGCCATGTTCCACCTCGGGACCCGAGGCTCTGTAGTCCATCTCCTACTCGAGAGATGTCCTACGACCGCTGGTCCTGGCGTTAAGTCGGGCCTGTCCCCCTACAGGGGGATTCTCGACGAAAAAAAAAAAGAATACCCAAACAATACTCCAGAACGGTCAGAACAATACGCAAAAGATTGTCCCAAGACTATTTCTGAGTATTTTTGAAGATTCATCCCTCACTCCTGGCTCCCTTAATCCTGGCGCTGCAACGTCTCCCAGAAATCGGGCGTGGTCGCCCCGCGCCGGGCCCCGGAACCCTCACAGACCGCTCCCGTGCTCGAGCCGTGGCGCGGAGCGGGTGGGGCCGGGGGGCTCCCGTCGTGATCTTTCTGCCGTGCGTCGGCTACACGCAGGACGTGGCCCCGGGCAAAGAGTGAGCTTTGGTGCACGGCTTTTGGGGGGGCCGGTTTCCTCGAAGTGCTGATTCACAAATACTGTAATGACGAGCGCCTTCATGTCTGCCGAGTCGGCGTGCTTCGTCGTCAGAAGCAACGCTGCACTGAATCGCCCACGCGGCCTGCAAAATCGGCCCCAGATCAAGCGAAACCCACCCTAAAAGGGGGGCCGCGGCGGGGCCAAATCCAATCGCGCAAGACGCTACGATGGTAGCGCGTTCGGCGATCGGGGGGGCATGGTGGGCCCGCACCAAAAAGGTCACTCCGGCGGAAGGTCACTCTTACGTCCAATCGAGTGTGGCATCTTTGCGCTACGTCGGATCCCAGGCTCTGCCGCAGCACACCCACGAGTATGACGAACGAACAACACACACCCATACCCATAGGGAGGTCGTTGGGAGGAGGACTGGTTACGGGTATGGGTGCGGGTTGTCGGACCCTGGGGAACGCTCCCGTTCGAGCGGGGAGCCCCATCCGACGCCACGCACCCATAGCCCTCTCCGATCCCCCTATGGGCATGGGTGTGTGTGTTGTTGGTTCGTCACGAGCAGAACTGCCGGGCCGGTCCTTTGCTGCCCCTGACTGTCGCTGTGGATGTCGGGCGGCGCGGGCAAAGCTTGGGGCGACCGCCGTCGCGCCATTCCGAGCCCATCGGGGCCCGTTTCGGGCAGATGGGGCGATCGCAACACGGCCGTAAGGATTCCAAGCGTCTGCAGGCCCGCACAAAAATCGGGACGCCTGTGGGCCCCGTTTCGGGCCCCGGGGCGATCGCAAAACCACCCCGAGGACTCCAGGCGTCCGAAGGCTAAGTATAGGCCTCCCAAATGGGGCCAGGGTAGATGACGGGTCGGAGAATTCGCCGCATCGCCCATGCATCGCCGATTGATCGGCGTAGGGAAGTTCTGGCTCCACATCTAGCCGCATCGTCGATGCATCGGCAACGTGGAGCGATCCTTTGACCTCATCTACTCGAGCACGATCTGGGAGATCAAGACTCTTCTCCAGATTCCATAATAAATTGGGAGCGGGTCACATCGGCGGGGGGGTCTGATTGCAGCTGTCTTGGAAGGTTCGGGGGGGTCTTGGCCAAAGTCCGCCCTTTCGTGGCTGGTCTGGGGGGGTCTGAAACTGCTCGTCTGGCAAGGTTGTGTAGACTAACGCCTCGGAGAAACCGAGCCGTCGGATGCCAGGGGGGGCCCAAGCTGCACCGGAGTCGCCCGACCTTGCGTTTTCCGCGCCTCCCCGTCGCTCGGACGTCCATTCCCTGCGTTTTTTTCGGTTTCGTGCGTGGTTTTTTTCGCAGGAAGATCCAGGATGCTCCTTCATAAGCCCCGCCGAGAAAAAGTGCACGCGTCCGCGCGTTACCAAGGCGCTGCGCAGCGCGCGGCCGTGGGCGCGCCCCCGGGCCGCCAGCCCGGGAGGGGAATTCTGCTCGCCGAGGCTGCGAGGCGCGGCCCCCTTCGCGCCCCCGCGGGAGACCTGCGGCCTGGCTGCGCGCACCGCCCCGGGGTCCTGGCGCTGCAGGCTCTTGCAGTGGGCGCTTCCGCTCATACAGTCGGGACGCTGACCTGAAGGAACCCAAAATATGGAACGAGGCCCCTCTGCCCCAAAAGCTAAACTTCGATGTCCCATGGAAAACCTCAGGGAAGCCTCACTCGCCATCGCTCGGGCGTCCCTTCCCTGTGCTTTGTTCGGTGTCGTGCGTGGTTTTTTCGCCAAATGATCGAGGATGCTCCTCGATGGTTCTCGCCGAAGAAAAAATGCACACGTCCGAACGATGCCGAGCTAAGGCAAACTGCACAATAAGCAAGGAACGCCGAGCCCCTCCCCCACGAAAAGGGCTCCTTCTTCAGCGCCCCGACTGCATGCGGGCCCTGGGACCCTCACGGATCGACCTCTGGCTCGAGAACGAACGAACAAACGAACTGCCATGCGCCAGAGCGCGTGGGCAAACGACAATGCCAGCTTGAACTCGCCGCTTTGCGGGAGCGACTGCACGTCGGCTGTCTCAGAATGCACAGCGTGCGCGATTGGAGGAGGAGGAGCAGCAGCAGCAGCAGGAGGGGAGGGAGGAGGAGCGAGAAAGGAAGACGGGATCAGCGAAGACAGACGGGGTCAGCGAAGAAATACGGGGTCATGGGCTCGAGAGGCAGAGAAGAAAGACGGGGTCATGGGCTCCTGCCGCGATGCTCGGCGCTGTGGCATTTCTGGTCGCGACGCCGGGCCTCGGGGCTGTCAGCCACACCGTCCCCCCGGAGGACGACGCCCACTATCAACCTGCACTAGTTCGGGCCAGGCCCCCCCCTGGGGCCGGCCCAAGATGGTTCTGGCCAGGATCGGCGCAAGGCGATACTTAGTTCGGACTTCCGCCACCTCTCTCCGACCCACTCCACCCCCAACGCCCCCCCCCCGCATGAAGGAGGAGAGGGAGGCACAGACATCCGGCAGTATTTGTGCTCGGGCGACGGATTTGTGTTCCCAGTCTCTGCGGGCCTCCTGTCCACAATGATCCCCCCCCCGCACCAACTTCCAGGATCCTGGCGCTGGGACTGAAGTAACAAACCTCTGGAGGACTGGGGACGTGATGGCACTCGCCCAGACATCCGACGTCAGCATGTTGTCAGTGCGTGACCGCGGAGCTCTCGATCTCATCCTTCCGCACGCCCAAAGTGGAGACGATACAGTCGGGGCGTTGACCTAAGACACTCTAAATAAGGAACGAGGTCTTTTTGTTTCCAGAAGTTGAACTTCGATTTTACATCGAAATCCTAAGGACCACCTAAAGAAATCTGTGAAACAATCAAGGAATACGGAGCCCCTCCCCAACGAAAGTGGTTCCTTCTTCAGCGCCCAGACTATACCCAACACCACCTGCTGCCGAAAACCTACAGCGGCCGCTGTTGGGCAGGCGGCGCATGTTGCAAACTGACCATGTCCGCGGGTTGCGCCGAGAGCGCAACCTGTTCAAAATGGGCAACAACTGCTGCTGGTTTCTTCCCCTATACCGTCAGCCCCAGATTCGGTGTTCCGACCCTTCGGATGCATTCGGGAGCGGC